AAAAAACAGAAATTTGAAATTGCAAAAAAAAAATTAATGTAAAAAAAATATTTTTTTTTGCCGGGGGGAGAGGGGATGGAGGGGTAGTAGGGTGGGTGGTAACGGAAAAACTGAAATTTGAAAAAAGAAAACTTTTTTTTGGAGAGGGAGTGAGGTGGGTTGGTGAGGGTGAGGAAGGTTGAGAAGGAGCTTTGGAAAATGTTTTCTCTTCTCTTGATAAGGAAAACATTTTCCTCCAATTGGAGGAAAATGAATTGATAAGGAAAATGTTTTCGAAAACATTTAAGCCAACCAAACATGGGAAAATTGAAAAATATTTTTCGGAAAATGTTTTCCTTCATACCAAACACACCCTAAGACTGGTCTTTCATAAGGAAAATCTAAGTACATCTTGAGTAATTATCATCGAAACAAACAAGTTAACGAAATCCTAAGGTTGAACGGACTCTACTAGGACCCAATATATCAGAATGAACTAAAGAAAAAAATACTCTACATGAGTCTCAACATTATGCGAAAAGGTGATTCGGGTATGTTTCCCAAGTTGAAACGACTCACAATCTAATGTAGACAAACTAGAAAAACTAGGCACCACTTCTGAAGCTTGGATAAAATTGGATGTCCCAAACCTATGTGAATTAGGTCTGCAAGATCTGTAACTAGACATGTTGTGGAAGGATTGAGTGAGTCAAGGCAGTAAAGGCCTTGTGATTCATGCCCTATGCCAATCGTATGTCCCGTACTGCGGTCCTGCATAACAAAATAGTCATCAATAAAATATATACCATAATGGAGGGCACGAGTCAACCAACTAACAGATGCAAGATTAAAAAGACAACTAGGGAATTAGCTTGTCCGACTCCTTTTGCTTTTGTTTGGAGACTGCTAGCTAAAGTAATATTGGAAAGAGATAGTGAATAAACAATATTTGGCAAAAGTTACCTATTACCAGAAATATGATCAGAAGCGCTTGAGTTCATAACCCACAGTCCAAGAGTAGTAGACTGGGAAACACAAGCAAAGGAATTACCTGCAACAGAAGTATCGGTTTGAGCAACATAGGCTACTTGTGGAGTTGTTTGCTTACTTGCTCGATATTGAAGGAACTCACTAATTCCCTTTCAGATAAAGAAAACCCCTAGTTACCTGCAGTCTCGGTTTGAGCAACATGAACATTTTTAGGTGGTCGACCATGCAAAGAGTAACACACCTCATGGGTGTGTTCAAGCCTATTACAATAAGAACACTTGGGCCGAGACCTTCCAAAACGACCTCCTCATCTATTGTGCATAGTTTGAGATGCCCGATTTTCCACTGGGATGCGAGAACAGATGAGTCAGTTGTCTGCGATGAGATCACTGTGTGACTAGGAATCAATATATCGCCATAGAATACTACATAACTGAGTATCGATATTTTTCCAATGTGCTTTGGCCTTTTCATTTTTATCACTAGCCTTCTTGGATAGATGATCTTGAACACCTTGACCCTTGCACCACAATTCAACAGAAGAAGCCCATGCTAAGTAGTTTGAACTTCCCGTTAAGGGTTCCGAAGTATCATTAAACTTGAGTTTTCAGAACCCGTGCTTTTAGAACCAAAAACGTCAAGTCCAAAAAACATTGTTGGACCAAATAGCAGAGACAATCAATAACAATCGTAACTCACAGTGAAGAAAAAGACATTGTAGTTCGACGGAAACTGAGCAGTCGCAGAAATCTGCACAACTCCGGAAAATAAAAGAGGTCAGAATTTGATGAAACTTGGATGAACATACTCGAAATAGCCTCGCAAGTAAGCTGTCCAAAAGAAGTTTCTGACTGGAAGGTGGTTCATGCGCTGGCGATCTCGCCGGAAAATTTCACTTATGGGAGGCACGTGAAGGCACGTGGGGGGTAGTTTTCCGGTGGAGTTTGGTCGTCGAAGGGTGGAGAACCTTGTGGTGGTGTTGGTTTTAGCACAACACTGACGGAAACGTAGGTGACGCAATAACAACCATGTAAATTGACTCACGGCGACTGTCTGGCGGAGTTCTCTTTCCCGAATGTTTCTCACCAAGGCTCTAATACCCTAAGTAAGTTACTCGGACTCGGGTGCGAGTGCCTGACACCGGTCGGATTTAGAGGTCGAATTTCGAGATGTAAATTCTAAGATTCGGGGATACGGATTCCAGTGCGGATACAGGTGCAAGGATCCGGCTAAAAATAATTTAAAATATAAAAATATCTTTAAATTATGAGAAATTTTATGGAATACTTACATATAGCTTGTAAAGTGTAGATTCTTTTTTATTCTCAAGTTGTAGATAAGTAAAAAATTGATTTCCTAGATAAGATATGCTATTTTCTTCAAATTTACCCTAGTTTTGGTTCTGCTTTCGGGAATCAAATTGTATCTCATCTCGTATTTTTCCTTCTGTCGTGGTCAAAGTACCAAAAATTGTTTGACTAGATCCAATGCGGATCCCGCTCTCACACCCATACTAGTGTCGTCTCGACACGGGTGCGGCACCTAAACTGCCGTGTCAGAGCAATTTAGCTGATACCATGTGAGAAATAATACATGAGAAATTATATTATTGATACGTTTTACTATAATACAAGGACCTCTATTTATAACAATACACAATACATATACTAATTCTATTCCAAGTGGGACTATACTTATTTATACAACTACTAACTATCTAAATGTAGCATAAATAATAAAGACAGCAGGAAACAGAAGGCTGTTCTCACCTGGTGAATGGTGAGGGAAATTGGTCTATGGATATGAAAAGGGGAAAAGTCGGGAAAAAAAAGGTTCAGGAATTTCATGCAGAACTCCAGAGGCTCGGCACTTTTAAGTGCCTGCCTACTTGCTTATTCCTTTAAGGGTTGCTCCTACACATTGAAATTTCTATAGTTTTGGCTTATAAGACAAGTAGGGCTGGTCAACAACAATAACAATAACAACATACCGAGTGTAGTTCCACAAGTGAGGTATGGGGAGGGTAGAGTGTACGCAGACCTTACCCCTGCCTTTAATGACAGAGAGACTGTTTCCGCTAGACCCTCGGCTCAGGAAGGGAAAAGGAGAGGGGCAATAACAAGCAAACCAATCTGACAACCAAAGCGAAAATACAAAGCTAGCACTAGGTAATGCAACCAGAAAACCAAATCTACATTGGCATGATTAAGATAGTGAGATTACTTTTGGTGGACTTTTATGCTGTATAATTTCAAGTTCTTCAAAAGTCAACTTTATGTACATTTCCATCGTTCAGTGAATGGGTACTATTGGTGGACTTTTATTCTATATAATATTCAAGCTCTTCAAAAGTCAACTTTATTTACACTTCTGTCGTTTATTCTTACGTTTTTTTTTATATAAATAACCCGCACCCATTAAAATGTATTGAAATTCTAAATTCTTTTTTTTGATAAGTATGTTGAAACTCTTAACTTCTATGGTCGCTCCCTATCGAATGGGGTTTCTAAATTGGGATAGAGGGCATAAATTCTATTACTGTTACTACCTTGAAGTTGGTTGGATTGTTCTTGTCCTGGACAAATCCCATCATCAACTTTCGTATGAAGCTGTCTCATAGGGTAAAAACATATTCCAAATTTTTTTNATAAAGCATAATACATTATTCTTACTGCTACTTTTTTTGATAAGTTATTCTCACTGTTACTTTGATGGTTTGATACTTAGATTGGTTTTTTGTTTCCAAAGAGCAGCCCTGCCAAATAACATTCTGTGACTTACTCTATTTTGCATACTTAAGATGTGCCATTAATGTAGTTATTCTGGTGAATTCAGGATACTTTGTCTCTCTCTGGGCGGGACTTCAAGTTGACTCTAATAGCAAGACGTTCACGTCATTATGCTGGTACCAGGTAAACAGTTGAATATATTCAAGATGAAATAACTTGTTATTATTGTTGTCAGATTATTATTTTCTTTTTAATAAGTCAAAACTCCATTGATTCACCAAGGCAACGTCAAAAGTATATATGGCGTGAGTACGTGTGCTACTGATCTTCTAAAAAGTCTAACCAACAGTCTATACTAAGTGATATTCTTTCTTTGAGCCAAAAGTACAACAACAACAACCCAGTATAATCCTACTTAGTGGGGTCTGGGGAGGGTAGTGTGTACGCAGACCTTACCCCTTCCCTGGGGTAGAGAGGCTGTTTCCAAAATAGACCCCCGGCATCCTTCCCTCTAAGAACTTCCCACCTTGCTCTTGGGGAGACTCGAACTCACAACCTCTTGGTTGGAAGTGGAGGTTTGAGCCAAAGGTACAAGTGGATCATAAATCTTTCTTCATCTTAAATTTTCTTTCAATTTGGAACATCACCCTATTCCTTTTCTGCTAAAGTAATATACAAAAGTATACCCCAAAAAAAAGAAGTTACAAAAAATATGGTTTTCTACCAAAAAAAAAAACCTTAATCTTCTATACATATAGGAACCTTGTGGGTGCGCAAAAAAAAAGGGATAAGACGCTATTCCTCAAGTGTGCAGAATCTTTCTATACTCCATCAAATGCTCTAGTGTTTCTCTCTGTACCAAGTGCTAGAGGAGTCACATCCCATGCCCTGCTTCTCTTCTGTCTTTTGAAGCTCCAGCTAAACTTTGTTTCTTTCACCGGACATCACGTCTGGAGTCCAAGCCATCTTAGGATTTCCCACCACAAACAGGATAGTTGACTATCTGATAATATAAAAGGAGATGATTCACATCTTCTCCTAAATATTTACACATGAAGCAGCAACTGACACAACTAATCTCCCTCTTTCTCATATTCTCCGTCGTTGAGATCAACCACTCATAGCTAGCTAAGTAGGGGTGGACATGACACCAACCGAACTGGGAAAACCAGCTGAACCGATAATTTCGACTTATTCGGTTCGGTGTATTCGGCCAGTTTGCGGTTTATAATTTTCTAAAGTTTGATGTTCAGTTCGGTGATCGGTTTTGGGGTTGCGGTTTTCCGGTTTACCGAAGAACCAAAGTTTTCTTAATAAGCTCTGGTGGGCTCTCCTCTCCTTAACCACATATGGCATAACTGAAGTCTAACGCTGAAGCCCAATGCAATTTTCTTACTCACATATCTGAAATCTAAAACTAACAAGCCCAACGGATAATAATTAGAGTAGGTTTGCAATTCCATTTTTTATTTTCCTATTCACCAGTCGTAATAATTGCCGAATTTGGCGTTATTGGATATCCTGCTGCTGCAAGCCTGCAAGGGCACGTCTGTTCTCCAGTTCTCCTTGCGTTCTCTTCCGTTCCCTAGGCTTAACATGCCCGTGAATGTTATTTGACAGACTAGCCAACACTTTACCTATTCTTTTGCTTGACTAAAGATAAAATGACGAGATCTATTATGTTTCATTTTGTTGAGTTTACTACAGTTGATGCATGTTGCTGCACTTTCTCTATAATTGCTCAAGCTTAAGTGCTTTAACTGATAAGATCTGGACATTTTAGTGTGCAGTAAGTATTGATGCTACTAATTCTTCGTTCTTCGTTCTGTTATACAATTTTGAATATTTTTTGACATACTTGAACCGACCGGAACAAAACGAAAATCGACCGAACCAAATTAGTAAAAACAAAAAAAACCGAACTAATTTCAGTTCGGATACTGGTGCAATAAATAAAAAATTGGAACCGAATTTCATGAAAACCGAACCGAACCGACCGACCTCCACCCCTAAGCTAAGTGAAAACACACACATTTCTCTGTACCCTAGGGATCCGTACCGAGAGATCGGGTAATCTGACCCCTCCCATTTCTGAATATCTCTTGGGATGCTTACTTCCCAAGATGGGTTATGTAATGAAGAACCAGTGGTGATGCTAAGCTATTGCTTGTTATAGCATAGACGCGTGGCATGGAGATGCTTCATTCAGGAATAAGTATCTAAACCTCTCATCCAACTAGTTGCCCTTCTCATCTGGTACTAAGAAAGACTTCATTAATTAAAAAAAACTGGTACTAAGAGAGAATCTTTCCCTTTCATAATTCCTTAGCAGAAGCTTACTTCGTAAGGGCTTGTTGCTTAATCCATTACTCAATCTCCCATATTTATCAAATATCTCCTCTCTCTTTTATGCATTCCTTGTATTTGCGGATGTCCATAGCCATTCCAACAGGGATATATGGAAGGCCTCTAGTCTCCTTATCATAACCCTCCCTCCCATATTGAAGGATCTAGTCTTCTCATCCACTACTTTTTAATCTTTTATCTTTCTTTTGGGGGGTGACAATTTCTGCAATCTTGTCACTAGTGATAACTTTTAGAACTGACTATAATTTATTTCAGTCATGCATTCTGGAAAATGACATGTCATATCTTCTGTTTGGTTACTGTATATTAGCCTTTTTCTGCCCTATTAAACAGTTTAATATGTACTGTTCTCATTATAAAATATACATATGCTTTTGGGCCTCTGCATGGATAATATGTATAATATATTTGGGGGTGGGGGAGTTGTTGTATTTAAATTTTTTTGTAGTGTGTGTGTAGAAGTACTTACAATTTGTCTCTATCAAAAAGTATTCACAATTTATCTTCTCAACTTTCTCAAGATTAGTCTACATCTGCAGAAGGTACTCTATTTTGGCAAGTTAGCTGATTTTCTGTATGATCTGTGCCTTCAATCCATAGTTGGCAGTTAATAGCTTAGCCTACATGGCTACTAATGAGCTATTATAGCTTATGTTTACAGGAGCAAACATGGTTGCAGCATAACTTTATGAGTTACTGTACAAAGATGCCCAGGCTTCTATTATTGGACCTCTTAAATGGGTGATTGTGTTGTACTTTCTTAGCATGGTCTATTATGCAATGCTATAGGTTTCAGTTTTCTGTTCTACTACTTGGGCGTTCCCATCAGTCTTCTTTAGTTATATTTCTCATCTGGACATCATAACTGTCTTTCTTCTTGGTGCTTACTCTGCAATTCTGGTGCTAACTCTTTTTTTCCCCTTCCTTTCTAGATATCTGAAACGAGGCGTAAATGAAAAGGGTAGAGTTGCAAATGATGTTGAGACTGAGCAGATTCTATTTGAGGATGTTCCAGAAGATTTCCCAGTGCATATTAGTTCTGCTGTTCAAAATCGTGGGTCTATCCCGCTCTTTTGGTCTCAGGAAACTTCACGACTAAATATCAAGCCCGATATTATATGTATGTTCAAGCAAGTTCATGCTCCCTTTGTAAGAATTTAAAACTGCTGTTCGGTTAATTTAGTGTTTGTCATTTAGTGTCAAAGAGGGACCAGACATATGAAGCTACGAGACTTCATTTCGAGGATCTTGCTAAGAGATATGGGAACCCCATCATTATTTTGGATCTGATTAAGGTGAGGGATGCTTTTCTCAGTCTGTTGTTTTCTCTTGTAACAATCTGACAGAAGATCAGAACTATACTGTTATGATGTCCTAAGGGGTAAGTAAAAGCATTTCTTCTTAGGAGCAGAGCGCCTTCTTCCTGAACAACCTGATTACCCCCACCCTAGCTCATTAGGCATTCTAATTTGCTAAAATAAGGGTGAATAAGGAAGAAAGCATCTCACTACTGTGAAATTCTTTGGCAGACCCAAGAAAAAAAGCCTCGGGAGTCTATCCTTCGCACCGAATTTGCTAATGCAATTGAATACATCAATAAAGATCTGTCTGAGGAGAATCGACTTAGATTTCTCCACTGGGATTTGAACAAGCATTCACGAAGGTATTTGACTTGTTCATTTCTGTTTCTTTAACTTCTTATTCAAAGATATGATTTGCTATAACTTTTGCTCTTTCTTATTTCCCCTTTCCAGCAAAGCTACAAATGTCTTGTTTTCTCTGGGAAAAGTGGCTACATATGCATTGAATTTGACTGGTTTCTTCTATTGTCAAGTAACACCAGCCTTAAGATCTGAGGGATGTCTGAAATGGCCCATATTTGAGTAAGTTTCTCATCCCATTTGACAAATCTGCAAGCACTTGTAAGACATAATTTCTATACAAATAACCTGCTTTTATCAGTTTATGTGGTAGCACATATATACAATTGAGTTGATTATTTACATCATGTCCAATTGGTTATTCAATTCCTTATCTTCAGCAAAGTCTAATCTTTCTTATGGTGTTTCATTCTCAATGATGTTTATCCCTCTTCTTGCATATTTACTTCTTTTTGGTAGTTATTCCTCTATGCAGCAGTCAGAAAACCCATCACTTTTGTATTATTATTTGTCATGGTATTGAATCTTTAGGAAAATTGTTTTCCTCTTTGGCGTAGTGTGCATTAACTATCCTCCTTCGGGTAGTGATCCCCTTATTAATCCATTCTTAGAGGCTTTTGTAAATTTTATGGATGAATGAATGTAAATCTTTGCCAAATTGCATCAAGAGGGTGGTAATGACCGTCGTTTCTTGAACTTCATGTATTTGAAGTTTGGATCAGTTATTGGTAGCATACATCCTAACACACACCAATAAATTATCCCCGAGAAAACCAATATACTTGGAATTGCTAAAGCACAATAGATTATGTTATGCCAGTCATCTCAGTTGATTAGCTGGGTATAATTGTCTTAAGATGGCAATAGGCTGAAACTTTTGGGACATCTCATTTTTGGCATTTGACATATTTGGTTTTGTCATATTTGAAGTGCTAAGTGGTCAAGCCCATGACCGCTGCAATCTAGACAGGCGAAGGTTCACTAGCCATATGATTGCGCTGCAGAAGGGAAAACTTGTGCTGATTTGATATTGAATTTGTGGAGGAATGCTGCAAAAGATTTAGGTTTTAGTCCCCATTATTGTTGGATGGCATGATGAAGGGATGGGCTTATACTTGAAGGAATTACTGTGATATACAATATACATGAATAAGTAGTTAGTTTTAAAATAAACTGCTAACTTGATATAAGAATGAAACATATTGATTTTTTATTTCTTTTTAAAATCTATTTTGTTTTTTTGAAAAGGTAACATATAAATAGATTTCTTTTTAAAATCTATAGTATTTATTCATCATCAATTTAGATTCTATATATAATATTTCCTTGGGATCGGATTTTATCCTATGAGATGGGACAAAGGGACAGATGTTTTATACATAAGTAGGTCCTAGTGTGGTTGAAAAGCTGTGTTGAATGCGAAGGCGTAGGGGAAGACTCTTTAGACTATTAGTTGCTGGTTTTAAGTTGCTTTCCAACATTTCCTAATGGAGCCCGCATCATCTATCCTTGTGCGTTGATTCTTGTTCCCAATAGGGGATGTGAATACATCTATTCCTAAATGATGAACACTCAACGTCTGGTACGACTCTTTTCATATATTACAATTGCACTCGCTTCTCTGCAGCCTCTTTCATTTGGCAGTAGTACAACCGTCTGGATCATTTGCTTCCTTATATAAATCCTTGCTATACATTTTCTTGATTCCATATGTTATCTTTCAAGTCATTGGGTTCACGACAAGAGTCAAAAAGCTCTACCATATTCAATGATGCAGCATAGAATTTCTGCACTTCCGTGTTTCCCAAAGATGATACGAAAAAATATGCTTCTTATATGTTGATGTGAGCTACCATTTAAAGTAGGTCAATAAGAAATGGATAAAGTTGAATTGCATATACATTAGGTTTTCTGTTGTATGCTTGAGCCACTTAGACTTGTATTTAAAAATAGTTGCAATGATGTGGCACAGGAATGCTGCTGCTAGTAATATGGTTCCTTTGAAACATTTTGACCCTGATGTTGAGAAACAATATAATAATGACGTCGATGACTCAGATAACTCAGAGGGAAAATCTAGTGGATGTAATAATGTGAGTAATGGCTATCCTTCAATGAAACCACCAATGTTCCAAGGGGGGGTGCTAAGGACAAATTGCATAGATTGTCTGGATCGTACTAACGTGGCACAATCTGCATATGGATTGGCTGCTTTGGGTCATCAACTCCATGTTTTAGGAGTTACAAATTCAACAAAGATAGACCTTGATGATCCTTTGGCAGAAGAATTAACGGGGTTCTATCAGAGGATGGGTGATACACTTGCTCATCAATATGGTGGCTCTGCAGCTCACAGCAAGGTAAAGCTAGTGCTTAGCATTTTCCTTTCTTTTTGTGCAATTTTATGAATCAATAATTTCATTTAGAAAATATAGGTGTCAAAAATATGTATAAGTTGCGAAAATGACACAACCGGAGTCATTCACCATCGTCCATTAAGTTGTCCAACTATCAATTAATAAGATTCTTTCCTTACACCAAAATACAGATGAAATAAGAGAACTTTTATGGTTTTCTTCATCATTCTTGCTATTATGAAACAATCTTCCATTTCTCTAATTTTCTTTTTGTACATTATTAGGTTGGCTAGACTGTGATGAAAAACATTTGCGTTAATGATTAATGAGGTAGATAATTTATAAATCTTTCAGTTATCATCTTTGAAGTTTGAATTGTGCTGGAGTCTGATTATGTTGTCACCACACTACCATCCTGACTCTACTCCCATGGTAGATAACAATAGCATAGAAGTTTTTTTTAAAAAATAAATAAGAAGAAAAATATCATAGAAGTTATTGTTACAAGCAACTTCCATAATGTCGATTCAGGGGGTGCGTGGGTGGGGAGTTCATGTGTTTGTACATCCAAATTCTGTTTTCTCTTTTGTTTTGTTTTTCATCTCATTTGCAAATTGAGAAAGGAAAGAACCTTTTGACTTGTACTAGAACCAGTGACCTAATAGATCTTTTTTATGTAAATAGAAGATACGATGCAGCAGTCAGAGAATGAAACTTAAGAGAGAATGATAGGGACCCAAAATTTAGTCATTCTTGCGTCATTTTTATTAGCTATTATACGCCTCCTTGATATTAATGGAAACAAAGCCCAGGGCTATCTACACATGTAGGTTTTATCTTTTCTCACCCAATGTTAATATTTTAAGCTTGGGTTAGTTGACAACGTTGTGATGTGTCATGTAGATATTTTCAGCGAAGAGGGGCCAGTGGAAAGCTGCAATTCAATCGCAGGAGTTCTTTAGAACTCTTCAGAGATATTACAGCAATGCCTACATGGATACAGAAAAACAAAATGCTATTAATGTGTAAGCTCATTTTCTTTCTATTCTTATGTGCCAATGCAGTCTGAGTGAGTGGTCTAGTTTGTTCCAATCTTTTAAGTTCAACTTCTCTTCTTTCAATATTCTGTTTGCCCACTTGCTCGAAATTTCAGATAATATGAAAAATGGCTGTGGTCTGCAACTTGACATTTTGATGACATTTTATGAGCAGGTTTTTGGGACACTTTCAGCCGCAAGAGGGTGGACGTGATATATGGGAACTGGACTCCGATCAGCATTACTTTGTGGGTAGGAATGGGGAGAGCTATGCTGGTGACAATGGAAGGTATAATTGTCAAAGCTGTGGTGTCATGCCTTTAACTTTAGATTAGATATTTGTCATCCAGATTAGGATGATACAAATATTGTGAAAGTTACTGATGAATCTTTTTCATTCCAAATACTGCGATATTTCGTTGGATTTTCAGGGCTTAATTAATTTACGCTGAGATAATGTGTTGCAAAAGAGATGGCAGAAATGCACCTCCTAGACTGACTTGATCTTTTCCTGTAATTGCTGTTTTAAAGTATGTAAAGGTTAACTGTATATTCTTATGGTGATAAACAGGTCGCTCTTCCAAAGATCATTCTCAGATGGGAATATTCTTCATGAAAGCCAATTTCCCATATCGGCTCGCAGTATTGGAAAGGGTCTTTCTAAGTCTAACCTGTCTCATCAGTCAAAAGAAGGGAGCAAAGTGCTCTCTGAATCGACACCAGAAATATCAACTTGTGGAAGTGATTTGACATATTCAAGGTACAGCATATTTGATTGAAGGAAGTGTATTAAGTAATGCATCTATATAATTCTGTGCAATTATGGATCCATAGCTTGTTTTGCAATGTATTATCTAGTGACTTGCTAATTTGGACTACTCTCAACATCATTGTGCAATTACGATTTGTTAGTTGTTTCTCTACTTTTTTCCTTTTTTGCTCTTATTGTATATGTGGAGCTCCAACTTTGACCTGAAAATCGTGTCATGTCGTTCTGAGATGGGTTCTCACTTAACCCCATTGTCTTCTCCCCAACAACAACTACACTTCATTCTCAAACAACTTTAGGGTTGCTTATATGAGTAATCACTTCTCCATTTAAGCTCAACTCATGTCATTATCATACCAAATAAAATAAAAGCAAAAAATAAGTTTTACATACAACACACATATATATATAGTATCAAAGGCACGCTTAAGCCCTAAAGCAAGGCTCAAAGCACGTTGAGCGCTTCGTCTCGCTTTACGGGCGCTTCAATGTTGTCATCAAGGTGCTAAAGGCATGCTTTTCTTTGCCAATAAGCGTAATCCTGAAGAGGCGACACTAAACAATTGATATTTCACTTTATCGTAAATTCTCTTCAATTTTTTTGTCCATATATTTGGTATTCATGCTTATAGATTTTAGTCTTGAACTACACATACATATTTGTAGTTTTACTCTATTTGCGTCTTTCTTCCTTAAATCTCACGCTTTATTTGCGCTTTGGGCTTAAAGCCCCAACATACCTTAGAACTTTTTTGCGCTTTTCGTCTTTGATAGCACTAATATATAGTAACAATAATAGTATTAGAAGTTCTCTAACAATAATTAAATCTATTTCCAACTAATAGATATCATTTGTACGTGAAAAATAAGTTGTCTTCAACACGCCTCCTCACGTGCAAGCTTGATTCTTTTTCATGGTCCAAGCATGTGAAAATTCTTTTTTGATAATGAGTGACGGTGAGACTTGAACCCACTACCTCTACCTTCTCTGATACCATGTTGAGTGTGTGATCATCTCATCTAAAAGCTTGAGCTTTTAAATGAGATGGTCACGCACTTCAACACTCGACAGAACTAATGAAACAGAAAAGGGCCAAAATTACACTTTAACTATTCGAAATAGATCACTTTTATCCTCCATTAAATTTTGGTACTAATTAAGTCCTCGTTGTCTAAATTTTGGACTACTATCCTTATTTTTTAACGGTTGAATCTTAAACCCTAATCCTTGTCTAATTAGATTAATTAGCATAGTTGAAGGGTATTTTGACCTTTTTTCAGAAATTTTACTACTCTTTTCCTTTTCTCTTTTCTCCTTCTTTCTCCCTCCCCCTCCCGTGAGATTCTTGCTCCAATACATGGTAGCAATATTGCGGCAAAATCATTAGACAAAAAGTAAAAGAAAAGTGTGGATTTGCATCTGTTGGGGAGATTGTAACCACATTGTGCTAAGTATCGATTGAGCCACTATTTGAAGGGTTTTGTTCCAAGTGGGAGTTCAGCGAATTTGAAATTGGAGCTTGAATTATTGAGTGCTGATTCGTGAACTTAAGCCGAGATCTGGACTGATATCGTTTTAAATTTCATTCGGAATCCAGTTTCATTCTTTTGGTGCTGATTTGTGAACTTAAGTCGAATTTGAAATTGGAGCTTGAAACCTAATCGCTAAACACTCATTTAGAGTTGGCGCGAACAACTGTGAACAACTCTTGAGAAAAATTTTAAAATCCATTTTGGGCTAACATATTCGGATCTGGGTTCTTTTAAAACCGAAAATGTTTGAAGGTGAAATACGATGGGTATTGCTGATGTGTAATTAGATTCATAGTTATACACTGATTTGGAGCTTGGGTGTAAAAGAAGTGATGAAAATAGAAAACTCACTTTGAGATTTAAGATTCTGGTGCTGGAAACTTACAAGATTGAGGTTGTTTGTTGTTGAAAATTATCAGTGTTAGTCATTGGTACTTAAACATGAAGATTGAACTGATTTTGGAGCAGCTTGTGGAAGAATTTTAAAACCAATAAGAGCTTGAAGAAACCAAATGGGGTGTTTAGATTGAATTTATTTGCTGAGATTGACCGGGGGGGGGGGATTATAAAACTTTAAAATGAATTTTAAAAGAGGAGGATTAAAATTTCGGAAAAGGGTCAAAATTACCCTTCAGCTGCTAATTCATCTAATTAGACAGGGATTAGGGTTTAAGATTTAGCCTTGGACAGCAAGGACTTAATTGGCACCATATTTAACGGAGGATTAAAGTGGTCTATTTCAAATAGTTTAAGGATATTTTTTACCCTTTTTCATTAATACAATGATGTCACTTATAAACAATTTAGAGTACTGGGGTTATCCAGGGATCCTGTCCCAACCCTTATTCGATTACCCTATTGTGTTTCTTTTGATCCCAAGCCCATCCCAAACTATGCTAATCTTTGGTAAGTCAGATGAAAACTAGTTGAAATGTGCCCCAATACCTTACCATTGTTTGAGTTCCTTCAACTTTCATTCTCGATTTACCAAGTAGACAAGGAAGCACGTGATCACTCCTTTTCCTGAAAAGGTTCCAGCAAGGTGAAACCTTAGTAGTGTAAATTTTCAGTTTGCCAACGCTACAGTGCCACAGTAACAGCTTAGCTGACATTTGACACATGCACTGTGCTGTGAAAGTTTGGAATGTCAAGCTGGAAGTTGAGGTCTGATTGAAGTATAAAGAGTAGTTAAGCCATAAGAAACCACAATCTGCAATAGTTGTGTGTTGTCCTACCATTATTTCTGTGGTTAGTTGATCTATGGTCTATGGATTCTATTTCTCACTGCATACACAAGTGAGTATATGACTTATGAGAATTCAAATGAATTTAGATATAGCATGAAAATCTAGTTTAAGTTTCTGTTATCCTAGAAAGCAAAAACATCCATATACATCATTTTCTTTCTCGCCTTCTGCTCTGCTTATTTATCTTTCTTTATGCAGGTATGCTCAAACAGTTCCTGCAAGGGAACTTTTTGTAGAAATGCAAAGAGATCAATCCCTGGAACACCGAAATGCAGATGCATATGACTGCTCCAACTTTGTTGACTTAGATTGGTTGTCTTCTTCTGGGAATTCCTGTGAGGAAGAGTTATTGGACAGGTAATTGATTGACTTAAGTTTCAGGTTTTTGGATAATAAGGTGAGGCTGGACATTACATCTGAGATATTTTCTTTCTTATGACATTTTTTCGTTGAGGTTTAAATTCTCTCAAGTTCAGTTGGCTTTTAGAGTCTTAGAGGAACTAAGTCACTGCTTATGCCATCTTTTAATCTGATTCCTTTAATGAAACAATGTTTATTTCTGCATTTTTCAAACATAAAACTTATATCTCCCATCAACTCAGTTAGCTGAGAGCCTGGGAAACTTTGCACTTAGGTCATTCCAAAATGTTCACTACTCTTCTATGCAACTCTTAATTTTGTGAATCCAAATTCTTTATATACTGATATTTCAAATGTTTTAGTATGATTTCCTTTTCATTTCAACTTTTGTTTTATACTGGTATCTAATTTTAAGACTAAAGACTGTTCTTATTTGCTTTGGCGATGGATACACCGACACGTCATATTCAAGGGGAGGTGCCATGGTGTATGTTATTCGTTGACGACATAGTACTGATTGATGAGAAGTGAGGCGGCAATGGCGGATCCATGTTATGTACTATGGGTGCTTAAGCACACATTGCTTTTGAAAACAACACTACTACTTAGGTAGAAAATTAGTAAGCACCCAGTCTAAGTAAATTTTAAATTAAGAATAATTGAGCACCCACGATATAAAAATTCTAGATCCGCCACTGCGAGGCGGTGTCAACGAAAAATTGGAGGTTTGGAGACAGACCTTAGAGTCTAAGGGTTTCAAGTTGAGCAGGACGGAGTACCTAGAGTGCAAGTTTAACACAGTGACAGGAGGAGCATATATAGATGTGAGGCAGGATTCACAAGTCATCCCCAAGAGAGGAAGTTTCAAGTATCTCAGGTCAGTTATTCAAGGGGACGGGGAGATTGGCGAGGATGTCACACATCGTATAGGGGTGAGGTAGATGAAATGGAGGCTAGCATCTGGCGTCCTGTGTGACAAGAATGTGCCACCAAAACTTAAAGGCCAGTTCTACAAGGCGGCGGTTAGATCGGCTATACTGTATGAGGCAGAATGCTGGCCAGTCAAGAACTCTCATATCCAAAAGATGAACGTAGCTGAAATGAGGATGTTGCGATGGATGTGCGGGTACACTAGATTGGATAAGATTAGGAATGAGGATATTCAAGAGAAAGTGGGTGTGGCCTCTATGGAGGATAAGATGCGTGAAGCGAGGCTTAGATGGTTCGGGCATGTGAGAAGCAGAAGCCTAGATGCCCAGTGAGGAGGTGTGATGAGGAGGTGTGAACGGCTGGCGCTGGTAGGTAGGAGAAGAGGTAGAGGGCGACCTAAGAAGTATTGGGGAGAGATGATCATGCAGGACATGACGCGACTTCAGCTTATCGAGGACATGACCCTTGACAGGAGGGTATAGAGATCGAAGATTAAGGTAGAAGGGTAATAGATCGTCGTGTGTTTTTCTGACATGTTCCAGGTTTATTAGGGCTAGCTAACTAGTACATTGTCTTCGCTTCTTAGAGTGTCAGTATTAGGGTTGTTTTAGTACTATTTTCCGCTTCAGTTTTCTAGTACCTTCTCGTGTTACTACTTATTGTTGTTGCTGTTGCTTTTGCTTTTGCTATTGCTATTGCTACTGCTTTCTTCCATTTGTTTTTCTCTGGTTCTTACATTGTTGGTATCATTTTCCTGGTCTTGTGGTTGTTATTTACTTGTTCCTATTCTTCCTCTCGAGCCGATGGTCTTTCGGAAATGACCTCTGTACCCCCATGATGAGGATAAGGTCTGCGTACACATTACCCTCCCCAAACCCCACTTGTGGGATCCCATTGAGTGGTGGTTGTTTAATTTTAAGACTAAAGTGTTGTGCAGTGAAATTAATTTTTTGTGAAGTAGGAGATCAAATTGCTTTCAAGTTCTTAATCTGCTATCAGTTCTAGTACTCTTTAGAATTCACTGGCTTTCCACTATGCCTTTAGTTTTCTTGGGTTGTATAATTTACCACTGGTCATGATCTATCAGTTGGATATGTTATGGGCAGTATTCCTGTTGCCAATCTGTATTCTTTTTTGGTTCAAAAGGTTTTCTTCAAGTGATTATTCTGGTGATATCTGTTTATGATAAGGTGGTTTCTAATGTTGATGGTTGTGTAGGAATTAGGCAAACATTGCAAAAAAGTTGAGGGTTGACAGTTACACTTACTTTTTCTTTTTCCCCGCGCTCTAAAATTTCTCATAATGGTGTTGTCAAGTTGCTGTTCTATAATCGTGAACTGCTGGAAGAGTAATTGTTGACTTCTTCCATCTAGAACTGATTGCACATATGATGTAAATGTTAAGAGTTTACTTGAAGAAACGATGTCATTGATGCCTTCTATGGATGCAGGTCATTGTTCACAAACTCGCCAATAGGTGGACTATCATCAGAGAATGTTGTCAGTGACATAGTGGGGGAAACAACAACTCCATTCTCCAGTGAAGGTGGATGTAGCATGAATGTTGGTATTTCAGTTACTTCACAAGTAAGGCTTCTACACTCATTTTTTTTTTTGGCCAAACCATTCACTGATGTACTTGAGTGCTACTTCATATCACCAAAAAAAGATTGCATGAGGATGTCACGACCCAAAATCTAGCTAGACGTGATGACACCTAACCCAACCCGCTAAGTAAGCCAGTTAAGAATAAACCAATTCAAATAAGATTCCTTAAGAGAAATAATAATAATAATACAACTGAGCTTTTATACAAAGAATTCCCAAGGACTAGTAGTACAAATCATGAGTTTCTAAGATTTGGAATTTACAAAATCTGCACGCAAGGTGCAGAAGTGTAGTATGAGTACAACCGACCCCATGTACTCAGTAAGTAACAAACCTAACCTTAGGTTGAAAGTAGTGACGAGCTGAGACAAAGTTCGGAGTCCAACACCAATAGCCAACAACAATTCATAACAATATAATAAAAAGTGATAAAAGAAATAACTCAGAGATATAATGCTCATCTCGGTCACAGTTCCGGAAAATACGCATTCTTTTCAAGTATAACAGTGAAAACCCAAATCTTTTACTGAAATCACCGAACAACAACAGCATATCCAGTATTATCCCACATCGTGGGGTCTGGAGAGGGTAGTGTGTACCCAGATCTTACCCCTACCTTGTGAAGGTAGAGAGCCTGTTTCCAATAGACCCTCGGCTCAGAAAAACATAAGTACCACATTAATTAAAAAGATAGACAATGAGGGACAACACCGAAAAGCCACCACCTAAGCCTCGCCCACCTTGTCGTGAATAATCTCATACTTGATCCTATCCAACTTGGTGTGCCTTGCACATCTATCTCAACATCGTCATCTCTACTACCTTCATCTTCTAGATATGGGAAATCTTGATAGGCCAACACTCAGCCCCATATAACATAGTTGGTCTGACCACCACTCTGTAAAACGTACCTTCAAGTTTTGGTGGCACGTTCTTGTCACACAAAACACCATAAGCGAGTCTCCATTTCATCCATCCCGCCCAATACGATGTGTGACATCTTCATCAATCTCCCTATCCCCTTGAATAATAGACCTAAGGTATTTAAAACTACCTCTCTTAGGGATGACTTGCGAGTCCAACCTCACCTCACCTTCCCCTTCCCGAGTCTCACCACTGAACTTACACTCCAAGTATTCTATTTTGGTCCTACTCAGCTTGATGCCTTTAGACTCCAGGGTCTGCTTCCACACCTCTAACCTCGCGTCCTATTGAGATCACCAAAATGTGAGTAAATTGGAAAATTGTGATTTTTCCCAAAACTTTCGACAACAAGTAAGATGTTTCATTATTAAATGACATGAGGAAAGTATATCTCTATGCCTACATGTCAATGTGTATGTGAAGTCATGAATGACGCAATACCGTATGAGGTAAAATGCATCTTTATGCCTGTATGTCAAGTGTGCCTGTCGAATGCAATGCAACACAGTGATAAAACCAAATGCATACTCTCAAAGTATCAATTGACTTAGTCCTCTCAGTCACTTAGTCTTCACAGTCACTCAGTCCTCCTAATCACTTGGCACTCGCACTCAGTAGGTACCTGCGCTCACTGTGGGTGTGCAGACTCTGGAGGGGCAGATCCAACTCCAGCGCTACAATAAGCCAATCATGGCATGAATCAATAAAGCCTGTTGCGGCGTGCAACCCGATCCTATAAACATCCTCACAATCAGGCCCTCGGCCTCACTCAGTCATCAATCTCTCCAGTCTCTCGGGCTCACAATGTCATGAAACAACATACCCAGTAAAATTCCACTAGTAGGGTTGGGAGAGTAAAATGTACGCAGACCTTACCCCTACCTCGAAAGGGTAGAGAAACTGTTTTCGGGAGACTCTCAGCTCAACAGAAGAGACAATAATATCACAAAAGGAAACACAAAAAAAAAGGCCAGTAGCAACAAAAGATGCCAGAAAGATAATAACAACAACGTAAGAGAGAAAAAAACAATGTGAACACAACATAGATCGCTAACAGACCTAGACAAAACTCTATCAGACTACCCTGTACAAAGGGAAAAACTCTCGACTACCCCCACGCCTACAACCCTAATGCTCGACCTCCACATGTTCCTATCAAAAGCCATGTCCCCGGAAATCTGAATCCTCGCCATGTCCTGCCTGATCACCTCGCCCCAATACTTCTTAGGCCGCCCTCTGCCTCTTCTCGTACCTGCCAAAGCCAACCGTTCACACCTCCTAACCGGGGTATCTGTGGTTCTCCTCCGCACGTGCCCGAACCACCTAAGCCTACTTCCCGCATCTTGTCGTCTACGGGAGCAATGTCCACCCTCTCCCAAATATCTTCATTCCTTATCTTATACAGTTTAGTATGCTCGCACATCTATATCAACATCCTCATTTCGGCTACTTTCATCTTCTGGATATGTGAATTCTTCACTGGCCAACACTCAACCCCATACAACATAGCCGGTCTAACCACCGCTCTGTAAAACTTACCTTTGAGTTTCAGCGACACCTTCTTGTCACACAAGACTCTAGACGCTAACCGCCGTTCCATCCACCGCACCCCAATACGATGCGTGACATCCTCGTCGATCTCTCCATCTCCCTGGATGATTGACCCTAGGTACTTGAAACTTTCTCTCTTGGGGATGACTTGTGAGTCGAGCCTCACTACCATGTCCGCTTCCCCCGTCACGCTGCTGAACTTACACTCCAAATATTTCGTCTTAGTCCTACTCAACTTGAAGCCTTTGGACTCCAAGGTCTGCCTCCAAGCCTTCAATCTCTCATTAACACCGCCTCGCGTCTCATCAATCAGAACTATATCACCAGCCAACAACATACACCATGGCACCTTCCCTTGAATATGGTGTGTCAGGGTGCCCATCGCCAGGGCAAATAAGAACGGGCTAAGCGCAGATCCTTGGTGTAACCCCATAACCAGCGGAAAAAGCTCTGAGTCACCTCCCGCGGTTCTGACCCGAGTCTTAGCTCCATCATACATATCCTTTATCGATCTAATGTACACTACTAGCACCCCTTTCACCTCTAGGCATCTCCAAAGAACGTCCCGAGGGACCTTGTCGTACGCCTTCTCTAGGTCAATAAACACCATGTGCAAATCCCTCTTCCTATCCCTGTACTATTCCACCAACCTCCTGATAAGGTGGATAGCTTCCGTAGTAGAACGTCCCGACATGAAAATCAACCCAATATGATGTATCAATAAATAGCAAAAGAGATTGAGATATGATATGCCAATGAATGAGTAGAACTGAGTATGTACAATTTAAGCAAATAACTCAACAGACATGACCTCGGTGGGCCCCAACATAATAAGTATGTAGCCTAAATATAGTTTCTAACATGGATCACAGCTCAATTACTATAGCACGTAGAGATTTCAGGGATAAAAACAGGATTAAGTAGCTACACAGTACCACAGAAACAACCAAGTCATAATTCATACGGTGCACGCCCGTCACCTAGCATGTGCATCACCTTAACACCAACATATAACACGTATTTCAAGGGTTCATACCCTCAACACCAAGTTTAGAAGTGTTACTTACTTAGAACAAGCCAAATTCAATACCGAGCAAGCCAAGTGATGCTCCAAAAATGCCATCCCGAGCGTACCGACCTTCGAACGGCTCGAAACTAGCCAAAAGCAACCCAAATACATCAAATAATGGCTAAGGAAACAAACCCAATCGATAAAGGTGAATCTTTAATCAAAAGCCCAAAGTCAACCAAAAAGTCAAACCCGTAAAATAGAGTACTTAAAGGTTGTTCCAGGGGTACACTTTGCGATAGTGGTCAAAACCTCGCGATCACGATTACAAAAATTTTCGAGGACAGTTTTACTCTTTGCGATCGCAGCCATTTCCCCGCGATCGCGATGAACAAACTTCTATTAACTCTCCCCAAACTATTCCAGACAGCATGTAGTATAACAGTCATAACTTCTTGTGCAAAACTCCGTGACAAACGGTTCGATTTTCTGAAAACTAGACACAAAGGGCTACAACCTTCATTTTTGGATCATCTCCAAATTCCTTATAGATTAAAAGATATAAGTTTCCAAAGTCGGGTCAGTGGCAGGAGAATTTTCCTCTACGCGATCGCGAAAAGCCTTCTGCGACGCGATTCACAGGCTCATTTTCCCCATTTACTCTTCGCGATCGCGACCAATTCTACGTGATCACAATGCACACTGCTGTAGCCAAAACCAGCAACTAAAAATGCCTAGAAATGGTCTGAAACCACCCGGAAATTCTCCGGAGCCCCTCGGATCCCCGTCTAAACATGCCAACAAAACTCGTGCCTGAACATATTACTCGAGGCTTCAAATCACACATAACAACATCGAAACTATGAATCACATCTCAAATCGAACTTAATGAACTTTGAATCTTTTAACTTTCAAAACTCGTGCCTGAACATATCAAATCAACTCGGAATAAACTCAAATTTTGCGCACAAGTCTCAAATGGCATAACAAAGCTATTCCAATTCTCGGAACTACAATCTGAACCCGATATCATCAAAGTCAACTCTCGGTCAAACTTATGAACATTCCTAATTTTCAAATTTTTAACTTTCGCCAATTAGTGCCGAAACTTTCTAGAATTATCCAAATGTAGATCCGGGCATACGCGCAAGTCCAAAATCACCATCCGAACCTAACGGAACCATCAAAACTCCGAATCGAGGTCAAATACTAAAAAAGTCAAACTATGTCAACTCTTCCAACTTAAAACTTCAAACATGGAATTCATTCTTTCAAATCAAATTCCGGATCTCCTTAAAACCAAAATCGAGGATTCACACAAGTCATAATACATCATACGGAGTTACTCATGCCCCCCAAATCGCCGAGCAAAGTGCAAATGTTCAAAACGACCGGTTGTGTCGTTACGGAATTAAGTAAACCTATCCCTGTACAAAGTTTATGTTAAACTAAATGAGGAGGACTTCTCCTTTACAAGATGTATGCATTTGATATTTTAAAACCATATCTAACTAAATGTTAGAACCTATCTATTGACAAAAGTAGTGGTCCATCCAGGTTCAAAAGAAAATTTACCTTTCTTCACACGAATTCAAGGAACCTGGCAATCCATTTTCACCATTCTTCAATGTGGCTATAACTTCTATAGCCAAATTTATGTCCTCGGGGAAGAATGAATTCAAATTTGCTCCCCAAAATTTGCAAGTTGGTCAGCCACAATTAACCTCCCTGGAACAATACCTTGTGTGCTCATTTGTTGTGCCTCCCGGATGTCTTCTTTTAGCTGCTAGGAAGCTTTAGTTTCCTTCTTGATTGTGATAAAAATAAAATTAGATTCTACTCTTACCCTGTGATAATCATGTCAAAGCACCATTGTAGTCCAATCTTCAAGGCTTGGATCTCATCTTTATTGTTATTGCAGCCAAAATAGGCAGTGAATGCTATCCCCGAGTGTCCTTTGTGATTTCTCCATGGCAGCCCTTACTACAACCATCAACATTCGGTGTAGCTTGGTTTAATTCATCTAACCAACTTGATAGCAAGTATATATGGCCGTGAACTGGAAAGATCTAAAGAAGGAAATTGTGAGTTAAGCAAAAGTTGAATCAAATTGGAAACTTGATCTATAACCATACTAGTTGAACTTTTGTTCCATCATACTTAATTGCACATGTGCTTCCTTTTTCCCCATAGCAAACTGATGGTAAACGTTGCAAAATCAGCTCATGAACTTTGTTGTCAGGGTTAGTCAGCCACCACCTAATAACATTAGTTCTGAGATTTTCCACCCGAGAAGACAACAATACCACAGGAATTTGAAAAAAAATTCTACATAGATGTGGCCATTATCTGGAAGTTGGCGGTTCGTTTTAGTCGCCTACTGTCTTTCCTGGTTTGCCCTAGAAATTTACTTGATTGACCACCGTCAGCTATTTTCTTTGTTTCTAAAAGCTCTTGAGGAATATGGTTAAATTGTGAACCATATCTTCTATAAAAAGAAAACGAAAATATTCATAATGTTAAAGACTTAACTAAGGTGATGTATTGATCGCATGTTAGCGTGGATAGTGTTAGTTGACCCCAAATCTAGATCAAGTGGATGCTTCAAGTGGAACTTTCCTTTTTGGGGTGTCACTCCGACATATAATGGAAGTAATGTTATTGGTTTCAGATTGATGATGACTGTCAATGTGATTATTAATATGATTGTTGCAATTAAATTGAGTACTATAAGTGTCATAAAGGTTGGAGAACTAATGAAAGACTTCGCCATAGCTCGATATTTCTGAAGAAAAGCTTTTTCACCTTACTTGCCTGCTTTGGACAAAAAAGAAACAGTTTATAAAGTTATTTGTCAAACTGCAAATCTTGGATTTCCATAGTTAGGCTCTAATATATAAAGGGGTCTTTTATTTTTTTATTTGNTTTTCATAAAAAAGAAAGAAGAAAAGAACAAGGTTATCTGAACAATTTTAGCAACTTTCCTCAGATGTGCTGGTTCGTTAGTCACCCTTGAAATACGATTGTAGTCGCTTCTGATATGAAGCCATGTTTTGACCGACTAAGTCTTTGTTTTTGGTGAAGTTTACAAGACACCATATTAACAATTAATAAATTCTATATTAGTATGTCTAAGTTGGTCTTCTTCTTGAGCCGAGGGTCTCCTGGAAACAGCCTCTCTGCCCCTCAGGGTAGGGGTAAGGTCTGCGTACACATTACCCTCCCCAGACCCCACTAGTGCGATTACACTGGGCTGCTGTTGTTGTTGTATGTCTAAGTTACTGGGCAGTGTTATCTACTTTCTCTTTGCTTGATATTTAACTATAGAATTCATTATCTGCAGGGAATCGAAAATGCTGGAGCAGAGGCATCCTATAGTGATGCCCAGAACTTTGTAGTTGTCGAGGAACTTTCAGATAGCTTTGTACGTTGGGTAAACTATGGAGAGACACTGTGTCATTGATGCCTCCGAACATTGTAATTCATGCCTTCCTGCGAGTCGTGTTAGTAAACGTGCCGACACCTTCAACTCATTCTAGCACTGGCATGCCTCATGTTTGGAGAAGTGTTGCGGGGACAGTTTAGGAGGAAACACACCATATCTGTTGTATCAGCATTCTTTTTACAATATTTCCTGACTAAGCAACCATCTAGGCTTGCATTTATTTGATTGTTGAAATCATCAGTCTAGTTGGATACCACTAGTACATAGCCAACAGTTATAAAATTCTTTCTGGAACTCTTTTCACGGAATGTAGGTTCCAATGTTGTAAATAGACAGGTTTGACTTGCTAAAGCTCCATTCGACAATTGTAGACCAATTTTTCAGTGCAAACACATACTTCCATATATTGGAAGTGACATCTAATCGTGAAATAATTACAGGTTTGACTTGCTAAAGCTCCATTCGACAATTGTAGACCAATTTTTCAGTGCAAACACATACTTCCATATATTGGAAGTGACATCTAATCGTGAAATAATTACAGGTTTGACTTGCTAAAGCTCCATTCGACAATTGTAGACCAATTTTTCAGTGCAAACACATACTTATATTGGAAGTGATATCTAATCGTGAAATAAGCTCTTGAAGAAACAAAATTGCTACTTGTATCGTCCATATGGATTGTAGCAGCAGCCTGGTCATCTTAAAGTTGTCAACTGATTGATTCTTTTCCTGGCAAGTCAGAGTTATTTTCTTGCTCGGGGAATGAATTATGTCCTGATAGATGTATTTTGATATGTCAATTTTATGTTTTTCCCCTTCTTTAAGTTGACAGTTAAGAGCAAAACTTGAAAACACATTGAATTGAATCTTCGGCAAAATAGAAGGAAAAAGCTTTCTGAATTCAGATCGTCTAATGGTGATAGATTCCTATACTGTGGTCCCAATAGTTGGGATTAGCAACTAGGTAAAGATACTTTTCTTTTTTGTATTGATTTTTTGGAGTTTTCTCTTAATCACACTCAATATGGAAGCTAAAGATAATCAAGCCTTTTACCACGGATTTTCATCTGCCTTGCTTTGCCTAAGGCAATTCTGATGCATTTACTTGCATCTAACACTGGCAATACACAAATGAATAACAACCACTACACCAACGCCCATTCTAACAACAGTAACTTAAAATCTAACTCCAGCACTAAATCAGCCAAAGCTATTGGATGGACCAATCTCCCCTGCACTTTAGCAACGAAGAAAGGGCAGAACAAAAATACAAAGAAAACCCTCAGGGGTTGGCCTGGTGGCAATTGACTTGAGCCTGGGGTTTGCTCCCTTTCAAGGTCTCAAGTTCGAAACTCACTGGATGCAAACAATTTCTGAGGGCCATCGGACTGGGTAAAACCTGAATTAACCGTGGTGCACTTGCGGGAAACTCCTTGCCGAAGGCCTGTGCACCCCCGGGATTAGTCGGGTCTCGAAGAGACTCGGACACCCGGTGCAAATCAAAAAAACAAAAAAAAAGATACAAAGAAAATGGCGGCCATATAGTTATAGAAGTGACACTGAAGCATAACTAGAAGTATAAATTTACACTAGCAGCCGGAGATACAAGGAATTCGATGTGCAGAGAAAGTAAAAGTAAAAACTTGTAGATCTTTGAAAGCTACTTCCATACAAGTTAGTCCAAGCATGAATTCGTTACCACATCATGGAATTTGCATAACTTCCACCATCAAATTTGTGGGGCAACAAACTCATAATGCAATAAACACTGCATTTTCGAAAGATGAATTTTCCTGTGTCAGTAACTGATTCTGCAACAAACCATTGGCTAAACGGTGGTGGAACACATTGCCCGTCACACGGGATGAAGGTTAAGTAGCATGAGAGTTCTACAGCAGGTTGTAATCTCAAAAAGACTCACTAATACATGCATGACTATGTTGTGCGGACTCTCCAAAATGCTGCCGCACTGTGTCGGATCATTAAAAAATGCACTATTTTGGGAGGATCCGTCATGCACCCAACGACATTTTCAGAGAGTTTGAGCAAAATAGTGCATGCAAAATAAGTTTTTTTTTTTATCTAATTAAATATGCATAATACGTTGTTAGAACTGCCCAATGCCTAAGATTGCTACCAAGAAGAGATCTCTAGCATTTACTACACCGGGTAAGAAGTTGAGAAGAAATCCCCCATTATTATAACTGAGGCTGTGGTAACCTCCTCTGAAAGGAAAAGGCAATAAACAATACATGACAGGTATTAGATGAAAAAATTACTACACCTGCAAAATTTGTCCAACGCAGATGAGAGATAACACTCACTTATTCTTCAAATTTAATTGAAAAAGGAATTCCATGCCTACCACATAAACAAGAAATTAAATGTTTTCTTTGTAACCCATGATGAAATGATATCATAAATTTATCAAGTATAATCACTTGGACAGAGGGTTAAATATTTCAGGATAGACAATTGAATCATCAAAAGAGTGAAAAGGAAACCTATTAGAACAACTGAGCAAGACCATGTGCTTTTACCAGCCACCTCCACCTCTTCTATCTTGCAACTCCGCTTGCCTCTCCTCTTTCAGTTTCTCCACAACTTTAAGAATATCTCGGTTATAGAAACGATCGTGCACAAACTTTCTTTCTTCAGCTTGTATCTCCTTGATAGCACTTGGATATGGATTAGGAGGTGGTTTCTTCCCTTGAAGTCGTGCAATCTGCTTAAGTCGAGAATATGCTTTCTTTTTTGCTTTTCTCTCTGCTCGATACTCCATCTATAACAACAAAGCCACACCGGTTTTAAACGAGAGATCCTAGAAGAAGATTGAGCCTCAACGAATTTGAATATAGAAAGACGAAATACGTACATCAGCAACAGCCATTGCTTCCTCTTCACTGACCCCCTGCTCCTTTAAATCGAGCACTCGCCCCCCAAATATACGGGCTGGAGGAGGATCAAATCCGGAAATCCTGTTAGAAGTATCAAGAAAATAAAGCCTCTATTGTGCAAAAAGGTAAATTCAGCATGCCAACTTCTCCTATAGGAAAATAACGAATAACATAAAATACTGATTCTATCCTCGAGTGGACAACATAAGATGTGCTGAGACCATAGATGATCTTTTACTTTTACTTCTCGATATAGTACTTTTCATATTATGTAATTAGTAGCACCTTTCCCTATTTCTTCCCTTGACGGGCAGCATATTGCATGTAAAACTATCAAGATTAAAGCCTACACATTCAAGTTGAGACCCTAAACTAAAGGATAACAGTATAACACGGCATACACCTCAAGGGTAATTTATTATCTGAGCACATTATAATGCTACTATCTGATGATTGTAGGAGTTCAAAAACACATACTCAGAACCATGAATAGGTTAGAAGCCATACTTAATAGCATCCTCGTGTTTAGATTCTGGATGCTTCTGGAAGAACTTCTTGATATAGACATCCTCTGGTAAACTGACGGGTTTCAGTTTCTTTTCGGCACGAGGGAATGTTGCCGGTGGAGCCCTGGTTTCAAACAAAATTCCAAGCAACAACCAGCATTATGAGCACAATTTCATACTTAAAGGCAAAATGGATAAAATCTATAGCAAAATTATGCCTAAGAATCCTACAAGCATTTTAACACTTCTATTAGAAGCTTGTTGCTCATCAAAGTCCAGGTAACGGAAGAAAGATTGGCACGACAATTCGAGAGGTCACTTACCTTTGAAGGAGCAATTGCCTGAAGTTTTTCAATTAGCTAGCACAAGGAGGCAAAGTTGTACTGATACTTTTCAGACACAGGATGGAACATAACTTTGAGAAGGAATGTCAATGACTGGGTTCTACTAGACAAACTGAGTTCTTTTATTTTTACAGGGATACCAAGGCTGCATACCAAGAAGGATAAGTTATTCTGGAAGCATCAAAGTGAAGGAAACTTCCCTTGCCAAATCCTGTTACAAGGCCCTAACACTAACAAATACACAATTGAGGTAGCGGCGATGGAAAAGATTTGGAAAACAAATGCTCCCTACAAGGTCAAATGTTTTTCATGGTTGGCATCCCAAGAAGTTAGCAAAGGAAAGGATACAACATGTGCTTACTTAGGTGAAGAGGAAAGTGAAGGAAATAGCCACATATTCCTTCACTGTGAAGTGACTGCAGAATTATGGAACATGTTCCTGAATATATAGGGGTGAAATGGTCAATGCCAACATCAACATAGTTTCCTGGAAAGCTGGTATAAACCTGATTTGAGCAAACAACACAAGAGAAGATACAGGTAACAATTGCGGCTTGTATTTGGTGGAACCATACGAAATGTTAGGAGTTTTGATAGCAAAGCAGAGTCAATCAGTCGGGATACAATACAAATTCCTAGCTAACAGTGTTGTCTTTCTGGTGCAAGAATGATTATATTGAGGATGCTGGATTTCATTAGCAAGCTTCAGAATTAGGAAAGTAATGTAATTACTTTTGTTTGTAACACTGCAGCACCTACTTATAATGCTGTTATTTAATAAAATTATCTTTTACTGATAAAATAAAAAATAAAAAATAAAAAATCTGTAAAACAAAAACGAAAGGAAAAATAAAAAGAGGGAGAGTAGGAACGCACTGTTCCATAGCCTTGAGCCAGACAGGCTCGGCCTTGGCGAAGCCTTTGACAAGCTTTCTCGTTCTACTCAGCAAATCACCTTTCATGAACGACATCCTTCTCCTGATCCAAACTGATCTCCATTAATTTCATGAAATTAACACTGAACTTTTCCATTAAAATGGAACTAAATTGATTTTTCACAAAAAAAAAAAAAAAAAGAACNTCACCTTTCATGAACGACATCCTTCTCCTGATCCAAACTGATCTCCATTAATTTCATGAAATTAACACTGAACTTTTCCATTAAAATGGAACTAAATTGATTTTTCACAAAAAAAAAAAAAAAGAGAACGTGAAAGAAGCCAAGGTTCTCACCTTTCAATAGAGGAAAATGAGGACTTTGATGTGGCGGCCGGCGGAGGAGAGAACGGTGGATACGGAGATGGGTTTGGGGGGTTTTCAGTTCAGGAGTTAGGAGAGGAGAAGATGCCACTGGATTTGGGCCCAATCCTTAAATACATTTGGATTCTGGCCCATAGAAGAACGCCTCCAGCCCAGATATTATTATGTTGACCACTTGATTGGTTGCGCGAAAAATTGCTAAAAATAGCCACTTTTTACCCTGCTACTATCATTTAGCAAGCATTTAAAAAGCTAGTAAAGTATTAGACTTTAACCAAAGTTTTTCAGCAATATGTAAATGACGTACTTTGATTAAGACCAGACTCCTCAACGTCCATCAAAACATAACCTCTATTTGAATTAAGAGCAAGTTTTGACAATAGTATTTTCTTGACTTGAAATGACTTAAATTAAGAACATGAGTTAAAGAGAAAAAGATGAACAGGGTTAAAAAAAAGAGATTTTTATCTATCTATACCATATATCAAACTTTATTACCAAAAATGTTCATAATTTGTTATTTATCCGTGTAGTCCACACTTTTACTACAAATT